TCGGGATTGGCCTCAATACCCCTTCGGTTCACCATGTAGCCTAAGAATTTGCCCCCTTGGACGTCAAAGGTGCACTTCTTCGGGTTTAGCCGAAGGTTGAACTTTTGCATGATGGTGAACATTTCCCGAAGGTCGTCGGCATGGCTGGAAGATTGTGTTCTTTTGACGATCATGTCGTCAACATAGGCCTCCATGGTGCGCCCTAGGACGGCCTGAAAGACTCGGGCCACCATCCGGGTGTAAGTGGCCCCTGAATTCTTTAGGTCGAAGGCCATCACTAGGTAGCAGAAGATGCCCTCGGGAGTCATGAAGGCTGTCTTTTCGGCGTCTTCCTCATGCATGAAGATCTGATGATACCCGCGGAATGCGTCGAGGAATGACATGATTTCACACCCCGCGGTCTCATCTACAAGTTGATTGATATTGGGCAAAGGAAAAGGGTCCATAGGGCACGCCTTGTTGAGATCCGTGTAGTCCACGCACATGCGGAAGGTAGGAGGCTTCTGTGCGAGGACTACGTTCGCCAGCCATGAGGGGTATTTTACCTCCTTGATGTGCTTAATAGAGAGGAGCACGACGACCTCCTTCTTCACAAATTCCCTCCTTTCGGCGGAGAGGGGTCTTCTTCGTTGCTGTACTGCTTTTGCCGAGGGGTCCGCCGAGAGGCGGTGGGTGATGACCCTTCGGCTTATTCCCGGCATGTCCTCCGGCCCCCATGCAAAGACAATGGAGTAGGCGCGGATGGTGTCGGTGATACCGGTCTTCAGATCTTCAGGGAGCTGGGCTCCAATCTTCACGACTCTCTCCGGCTTGGCCGGATCGAGCGCAAAGTCTTCTACGTCCTCGGCTGGTTTAGCCCTCGGCCTCTTTTCTTCTTCGTCGATGGTTCCGGTGATGGTGTCAACACGGAACTCCGTCTTACTTACTTTCTTTGTGACTTGAAGATAGCAAGTGCGGGCAATTTTCTGATTCCCCCGGGAGTAGTCAATGCCCCCCTCGGCGGGGAACTTGAGGCAGAGGTGCCTCATGGAGATGACGGCCTCGAGGTCCTCAAGGGCTGGCCGCCCGAGGATGATGTTGTGGGCGCAGTCGATGTTGACGACGACGAACTCCACTTCGAGCTGGGCTCTATGGAGCCCGTCGCCGAAGATTACCGGAAGGGTTATTACCCCCTCGGAATCAATAGTATCGCCGGTGAAGCCGGCAAGAGGGGTCTTAATGGGCCGAAGGGACCCTCTCTCCAGATGCAGCTCTCTAAAGGTGTTGAGGTACATTACATTGACGGAGCTGCCCGTGTCAATGTAAGTTCGGTGAATGATGGTGTTGTTTATTTCTGTCTGAATCACCAAGGCATCCCTGTGAGGAGAAGAGGTAGGAGGGAGATCTGCGTTGGTGAAGGTGATGGGTTCCTCCCTCAGCCGCTTTACCGGGGGCATATGGGTGACTTCCCCCACGTAAAGCGATTGAGCCCACTTTTTCCGCTGGCTGGTGGAATCGCCCTCTGTATTGCCACCGGTGATCATGAGGATGTGGCGTTTTTTCTCCTGGTAGTGGGGGTACTCCTCCTCTTCCTCCTCCAAGTTTCCGATCTCCCTCTTCTTGCCGAGGGGGATGGTGTTCGGGTTCACCCAAGCGTTCACCTTCGTGTGATGCCCTCGGGGAGGTCCCTGATGAGAAGGTCCCTCCTGCCGAGGGCTCTGGATAAATTGGGACAGATGGCCCGCTTGTATCAATCTCTCGATGGCCGTCTTTAGCTGATGGCAGTCATCGGTTCTGTGCCCCTGATGCCGATGGAAACGACAGTAGGGGAACTGAGGGTTGATAGCATGTACCTCCGGGGGTGCGCGAGAATCGCGCTCAACGAGGCCCCTCTCCTCGGCAAAATCAAGGATGATGCTGACGGGGTGCGTCAATGGTGTCCGGGGGCGGTCCAGGAGAATGGGCTGTGCCCAAGTCTTAGGGCTGTTCTTATAACCTCCCCCGGGCTTGGCTTGGCCCTACCGAGGGCGGTCATCAGAGGGTCCTGAAGACTTGGGGTGATTTGGAGGAGCCCCCGGCCCTCGGTTGTTCTTGTTGTATTCGGGGGTTGCTGATCTGGATGCTGGTGGTATTTCTACACCTCCTCGGCCTCCGCATATCGGTCCCCTCGCTGCAGGGCCCTTATGTAGTCGCGGGGGGTTCAATGATGAGGCTCCTTGAAAAGTTGCCGGTGCGAAGGACGGTTTGTAGGAGGGCCAAGAGGGTCCCGTTGTCGGCACCGTCGACTTTGTCGGCTTCCGTTCTCCAGCGCTCCAGGAAGTCCCGAAGGGTCTCATCCCTCCTTTGGCGTATGGTTAGGAGGTGGGAGAAGTGCTTCCTCGTGCGACGCCTCCCGGCAAATTGCGTCAAGAATCGCTGGGCGAGTTCTTACCACAAATCAATGCAGCCTTCGGGGAACCGGTTGAACCATTCGTATGCCGGCCCCTCTAAGGTGGAGAGGAACCAACGACACAAATATTCGTCCGACGCCCCTACCATCATCATGCTGTTCTGATATTTGCTGTAGTGTTCCTGGGGGTCCGTCTTCCCGTTGTAGGGCTGTATGTGTTGCCCTCGGTATTTTTCCGGGATCCGGGCCGCCAATACCCTTGGGGTGAAGGGTGTCCGGGTCCGGAGCTGGATAATGGGTTCCCCGGAGCCCTCGGCTACCTTCTTCTGTAATTCCTCCATTTTGGCCATCATGGCCCCGTATTTGAGGTTTGAATGAGGGGTGGAGGTGGTGGCGTGAGCTTTGTTGGCCTCCATTTCATCAAGTCGGCGTTGGAGGGCCGCAATAATTTCGTCCCGGGGGCCCTTCGGGAGGGTCTCTGCCCCCTGCGAACGAACTCGGGCCGAGTGGGCCTGGTTGATTTGGTGGCGAGCATCGTTGGCATGAAGGGGTGCCTTGCCTTTGTCCCGAGGAGGACGCTCCTCGTCTGCCCTCGAGACAGACCCTCCGCTCTCCTGGGGCCTATGGAATGCCTTTCCTCCGAGGCGGTCTTGGACCCCTCGGCGATCTTGCCCCCCTCCGATCCGGTTGAGGGCGGAAGTGCGGGGCCTTTCTCTGTTGTCATTGTGGCGGTCCCGGGACTGAACTTCCTGGGAGGCCGTATCTTGGGCCACTACCCCTTCGTCATTCCCAATCCGAGGGATGGGATTTCTGAAGGGGTGTGCCAGAGGGGGAAGCATGATGTTCTCCCCAACCTGGGGTGGAGCCGGAGCCGGAGCCAGAGCCAGAGCCAGAGCCAGAGCCAGGGTGCCGAAGGCACCCGGGTTCTGAGTTAGCGTCTGGATGAAGGCGGAGAGCACCGAATGAACGTCGATGGTGAGGACCGGAGGGCTGACTTGGTCATCGCTCCAGTTTTTCTTCTTGGCCTCGATGCCGAGGCGGGCATCAGGGGCATTTTGCTGGATCTGAAGGCGTAGGTCGACAGCCGCCTGTTCCAGCCCAGCGATGACACCGCCCTCGGGAGCCCTGTGAGAGGCTTCGGGGGCGTTGACGTCGCCGAGGGCCAGGTTCTTGTCTTCTACGTTTTTGGAGTTGGCACGTGTAGTTCTCACCATTTTGGTAGAGGGCTAGTGTTTGGCGAAGGGGGAGGGTTTCTTACTTGATCGTTCGACCTCTCAACGAGAGCACCAAATGATGGATAGTGTACCCGGGGGTAGCTTATCCGAGGGGTTATTACGGGGAGAAATAAGAGAGAAGTCAGAGCAAGTAAATAGAGAGAGAGAAAGTATATTATAAAGTGTGGAGCGTTTTCAGCGTGTTATGACTTGGTTACAAATGGGGAAATGAGGTGCTATTTATAGTAGCAATAAATGCCGGACAGGGACACGTGTCAAGCGCCCATTGGCCGAGAGGTCACCTCAACTGGTTGACGCTGGCAGCCGCATGTGGCCGCATTTAATGCGGCTGTTGGATGGGACGTTTGTACAGGGTACGATGATCTGTACGCATGTGGTGCGGATATTATGTCGGGAGAGGTGCCCTCGGCTGCAGAGGACTAGCCGAGGGCTCCGTGTGCCGGGGACCCCCTGGGTGCCGAGGGCTCCAGGTGTCGAGGGCTACGCTTTTCTGCCGTTTTCTCCCAGTTTCTTAGTTTGCTTGTAAAACCCGTTTTGTGAGAGTTTCGAGCCTTCGGCCAGGGGCCGAAGGCTCCCCAGTGCGCGCTGTGGGCTGCTAATTGCTTGGGGGCGCCGTAATTTGGGCCTGCTGTGCTTCCTGGGCCGGTTGGGCCTTTATTGGTGTAGTAGGAGTCTGTGGGCCGGGGGTTCCCGGGCCATATACTCCATCATCACTACAATTTACTTTTGTTCTCTATTTTAATTCTCAAAATCGAACTTTATAAAACGACGTTTCCCTATAGATTCGACTCGCTATTTTACCGGAAATTATTACTGCATCGACATTTGTATATTTGCAAGTTTAGCCCGATCAATTATAAGGCAACTGGTGAAGTTGATGAGTTTGACTTGACATTTATTAAACATGTCAATCCCAAAAAATCATGACCTAAATGTTCAAGACCTAATAATCTTTTTTTTAATGTCATCCACTAATTGAAATACGAATTTCCTCAAAAACAGTTATTGAATTGATTGAATGTGTTGAAGATGCATAAGGAAAGTTAGAAGCAAAAAACTTTGAATGTTGTGTGACTTACTTTAGAATGCTATGACGTGACACGGAGAATGTTTGTGAATAGTAAATATAACAATTGTTATTGTTGTTACTAATGTCACTATAATTTTTATGATTTTTATTGTTATTACTATTACTACGCATTACATAAAAACGATTTCGAACTATTACACACTAAAATATTTGAAAATTAAACCAAATTAAACGATTTCTATTCTGTTTTCTTTTGAAGGAACGATTTCTGTTCTGTTGGTGACAGAAAAAACGATTTCTACTCAGTTTTTATAGTTAAAAAACGTGGAATAGATCTAGGTGGAATGAAAATATTTGACATTACCAAATTAGAGAGCATATATGACCAAAATTGGTGCCTTCTTCCATCTCATTGCCTATGATTTGAGTACGTAGGATAGTACATTGACCTCCCAGCAAAGGCGAAGAATGTACAACTAAAATTCACGCAGTTGAAACTCTGACGTCACATCGTCTTATAGTTGTCATTTCACGATTCCCTGAGAACCATTGATCGGCCGAACCCGCATCGCCGTCGGTCGTTTAGCCTGCCGGATCCTCTAAACCCTTGGAAATTCTCGGCGCCAAATGGTTTCCTAGCGCAGATCTATCTTCGTAGTCATTTTTCGAATTAGACTGAAGGCTCGTCTGTTACGAAATGGCTGCGCCGAATGTGGACCAATTCGACGCTTATTTTCAGAAGGCGGATTTGGATCGTGACGGTCGAATCAGTGGTGCCGAGGCCGTTTCCTTCTTTCAGGGATCCAATTTACCCAAAGAAGTCCTTGCTCAGGTTTCTCCTATGGCTTCTCTCATCTCCATTTATCCAACACGGCATAATCCTTCATTTGATTACCTTAGCGTTTAGGCAGCTATTAAACTTGATTTGTATAAGCTGGAATATGCACTTGAGCTAATGCAGTGTTTAACGTGTACTTCGAGCTGTTTCTACGCGACCACTTATCAAATTACATGAAATTGCTGGAGAGATTTGTAAGGGACATGGGGTTATTTACGTTTCATTAACATGATATGGCTTTGTAGATGACATCTGAACAATAAAGGTTGGAGGAGGTTGAATTCATTAACAGAGTTAATTTTATTTCTTCACGGATTTCAGATCAACCAACTAGCTATTTAAGTCTGTGAAGGCCACTTGATTGGTTGTTAAGATGTAGTTGTTAGGATGTTTGTAAGGGGATTGTATGCAGATATTTTGGATGAGCCACTTTAATGCCTGCTAAAATTGCCAGTTTAGCTCACATTACACATACACCTAAAGTTCTAGATTGGAGTCATTGTTTATTTCTCAGTCCACTTAGGAGCACATCTCTGGAATGAAACCTTAGAACATTAGTCTTGATATATTTTTTTGTGCAGATTTGGATGTATGCTGATCAAAACCAAACTGGATTCCTCAATCGTCAACAGTTTTATAATGCTCTAAAACTTGTAACTGTAGCACAAAGTAAACGGGACTTGACTCCTGATATAGTTAAGGCTGCATTATACAGTCCAGCTTCGGCTAAAATTCCAGCTCCCCGGATAAATGTTACGGTTCCATCAGCTCCTAACCTGAATAATAAGCCACGTGCACCAGCCCCAGTTACTGGCTTAGCTCCAATGATGACTCCAAGCGGTGGCATAGCAGGTTCACAGGGATTTTCACCTCAACAAAATAATTTCATGAGCCCACCTCGATTGCCAACTTATAACACCACATTACAGTCACAATCAGGTATTTCAAATCCAGGAATGTTAGCTGGGTCCTCGGTGCCTGCTATGCGTTCTCCTAATTCATCTGATTGGCTTCGTAGCGGAACTGTAGGTCCTGAACATGGGGCTGTGTCCCAATTTCCTAACAGAGGTGTTAGTGTTAACAGTCAAGATGGATTCAGCCCTGCTTCATCTGGGTTCACTGCATCTCTACAACCAAAAGCACAAGAAACTACTTCATTGGTGCAGCCCAGCTCATCTAGCTCAAATGATTCAGCTTCACTGGGTCACCATCCTCCTGCTATGGGAGCTCAAGTGACAGGAAATGGGATTGTTTCCAGTTCTGTTTTTGGGGATGTTTTTTCAGCAACATCGGTCCTTCCAAAACAGGAATCCAAGCAACCTGTTTCTTCAGCTCATCTTCCAGTATCTGTAGCGTCTCAACCAAACATTATGCCTAGTTCAAATCACCCTTTAGAAAGCATAAATTCTAAGCCCCCATTGAGCCATCATTACCAGCAAAATCAGGCGGAAATGAAACCGAACCAGAATGTCCCATTGCAAAGTTCTACTATAGTTCATGGTGGAGTAGTAAATTCTGGTTCTATTCAGTCTCAGCCTAACTATCAGCAAACTCTGCCAACAATCAAACCAAACCAGAAGATCCCAGTGCAAAGTTCCACCATAATTCATGGTGGAGTGGGAAATTCTGGTTCTGTTCAATCTCAGCCTCCATGGCCAAAGGTGACCCAAGCTGATATACAGAAGTATAACAAAGTTTTTGTGGCTGTAGATACAGATAGGGATGGAAAAATTACTGGTGAACAGGCACGCAATCTGTTTTTGAGTTGGAGGCTGCCTCGAGGTGCATTATACATGCTTTCTCTGTTTTATCCTTGAAATTATTCAGTTGTTTTTCTATTACCTTTCAAACTCCTTATGCATTTTTTCTATTTCATTGCATGGTTGAATGCCTCTACTAAGGAAGTACTAATATACCTGGTGGTCTTCTTGTGTGCTGGTACCAATTTTATTACTCATTTGCCATGTGGAATTGAATTAACTAGGAGTTAAGTGGGAGAAGGGTACATGAGGATAAAAGATTTGAAGTTCTGTAGTTTGGTTGATGGGAATGGAATTGTTGGTAATACTTTTTCTACTGTTTGTGTTGCTTTTTAATAAACAAGGGATAACGTACATAAAGACCAACTTGCCTTTTGGTGGGGGGCAATAACATAGTTGATAAGGGACATTTTTGGCCTAATCACTCTCCCTTCTCTTCCTTGGCATGGAAAAACAAGAAATATTCCTCACTCTTAAGGAAAAAGTGAGGAATGATTTGTTTAGGGAATGAAGTAGAATGGGAAAACATTCTACTTTGTCCATACAAGCCATTAATCGATTCCGACCAGTTTTTGAAAATTAGGGTAGGTGGTAGGTGGCAGTCAAGAGCTCTGCTTTCCGCCTAGGCAGCCAATCAGTTAGCTTAGGTGGGTGGGAGCTGGCGCTAATCAAGGTTTTAACAGGATTATACGAGCTCAGGAGGAAATGAGGAATAAGCCTCACCTAGTAAATAGTATACATAAATATATAAGTCCTAAATAGCCCTAAAAATATATATGATTCTGTAGTGCATGATAAAAAATATATTAATTGCATAAAAAAGTTAGTATTCATCATGAAAACAGCTCAATTTGTAAATCTTTAAACCAAGTAGCCTATAATCTCTTTACAATGTATGAACTTATGGGTATACACATGCATATTATTTTCAGCTTTATCAAGAACTTTAACCTCTTCACCATGAGCCCAAGCAGGATCTGTTCTTTGTGCTCCATCAGCCCACTAGACTCATTATTCTTTCTGACAACTCTAGCCAAACAAAAAATTATCCGATCGAAAAGAAAAAGCAGAATAGAAGAAGAGCACAGATAATACAAAAGATTTATTGGTGCAGCTGCGCAGAAAGGCTGAAACAGATATTTAATAAACCTAGGGGTTTGTAAGTTTAAATATATTGAGTTTGTTTAGGTGAACTCAAAGCACAGCCCGGAGATCAAGGTTGTTAAAATCATGATTCAAATTGTGAAATCGTACGATTTTATGATTTAAAATCACTAAACCGATCTGAATCGTTTACAAAATCAGAATTTATAGAAATCGTAAAAAATCGTTTTTTAATCGCTAAAATCGTCACAAATCGCGATTAAATGCGATTTCCCCGATTTTTAAATTTGACTTGTAGCACTCACGGTACCAGCCGAATTGATCAGGCCTGTAGGGCAATTCAAACTGGTACCGCCTGCTTGGACTTATATAGGCAAGGGAGGAGGAAAATTTTCAAAGCTCCTCCGGTGTGGGAAAATGGGAACAATGAATATAAGAAGAAATAAACAAGTTGTTTTGTTTAAAACTCAAAAAACAATCACCACTGGGTATCGAACCCACGCCCAATGCTTCAAGGAGAGTTATTGCACACTTGTTAACCAACTCATCAATGACAACTTTGTGTTTATATCTAACTATTATGGTACTTATTCAATATGCTACAGAACAAACATTTTAATAGTGTAATACTTATATGCCATTCATATACACCGTATGATTCATTGTGAATTTTGATTAAAACATCATTTTTATTTTTGTGTCTTTTGTCCTTCGATTACATAACATTATTTTGTGATTGATTATTTTGTTGACTTTAATTAACACATCATTGTATGTCTTAAACTTATAATGGTTTGACTTAATAATGTTATATTTTGAGTTTCTTTTATTTAATATTTCTAATAATTTTTATCTAATTATTTTGTAAAATCTTATGATTTACGATTCGATTCTACGATTCGATTTTTAAATCCTTCTACCGACTTGATAAAAAAATACGATTTTAACAACCTTGCCGGAGATAAATAGAGCCTTATTGGGCAATTTTATAAAAACAGATCCTTTATCTAAATTTTATAGTAGTGATCTGAAAATAAAACGGTTTAAGCCTCGGCCAACCCTGCAAGGCTACGCCTTGAGGGTTATGCCTCATGCATGGCATGCGCTTGTAGCCAACAGTGAGCCTTAAGCCTCAAATCATTTTCCCACTGTTTTGCACCGACACATGACCGCCTTTTTAAGCCATGAAGCCAGTTTGGCGACTGTGGCTAAACTAACCGCCCATAACTTCATTTTTAAATGATATTTTATTTCTTAAACTAATGTAACATTAACATACCTGTTTGTTTTGGCACTTGAGATTTAATTAAAAATTAAAGAAATCATATCAACCACACAAATCTTTCTTTAAAAAGAAATGAGAATGTCTCGGAGACTCCTAAAAAGATATTTGGTCATTTACTTTTAGAAGAGGAAGGTTTCCTGTTTGTAGCATCTTCGTGTTGTAAAATTGTACTTTTGTAGAGAAGAACGGAAGGCTATATATGATCTCAACTTTCGATGTTAGATCCAAAAAGTACTAAATAAAACAAGGGAAACACAAAATAGGCTACATGTGGGGCTCAAAATCAAGACAACCAACTGTAATCTGTATGTACCAAAACTAAGCTGTACTAGTTGAGCTATGAAGGCAACTATGTCCAGTTTTCATATGCATTATATACTTCAACAATATTATTATATACTACCTCCGTTCTTAAATAAATGCAACACTTTGACTTTTACACTATTCACATGTTCTACTTTGACTACGTTTTATTTATTAATGTAATAATATTATTTAATGAAAAAATATTGTTAAACTTGTCTCATTGTAAATTTTCATAATCTAATTTTTTTAATTTTTTTACTAAAACAAAATCATTTATATTAATGGTCAAAGTTGTGTCTCGGCAAGTGTGAAATGTTGACCGTTGCATTTATTTAAGAACGGAGGAAGTATCACACAATAATGCTAAATAATTTATTATTAGTTCAGTAATGTATTCTACCGCTCATACATATTAATATGTGTGTGTTTATTCTTCTTCATATTTATGAGTCCTTCTTAAATATGTAATTTGTAGGCTCGACTAAACCCAGCTCAGGCTTCTACATGCTAAATGCTGGATTGACGTCCTACTAGCACCTAGTATATTTTAGAGCACTGGTTTCACCTGCTATATTGAAAAACTTAGTTATTTTTCTTCTAAAAGTTGGATACAGTTTATTGCTCCTTTGCTGGACAACAGGTGTTACAATGGGATTGATGAGCGAAATGTAATCGAGATTTTGACTTGTGCCTGCTTGCAAAGTTTATTAATGTCAATAAATGAGAAGCATTTATTTATTTTCACCTTGATTAAATTAATGTAGTTTTCTCTTTGAATTTGTTGTATAGCTCTACCCGAGATAAGAGTTTTTTTGGACTCTTTAGTCAAGTTGAGCTGATGTGAGAAATTGATGCCTTAAATGACTTCTTTTAAAGGAACGATGGTATACAGTTAGACAAGGGCCATGAGTAAATGTTCTAATCTTTCCTTCTCTACCCAATGAGGCAATGATGTGCTTGTTTTTTCAGTAACTTGCCATACTTGCTTTCTTCAATGTAATGATGTGTCACCTACATCATTGACTGTTAGTAAACTAGTAATATATTGGAGTGAACCTATAAGTGTTTCATATTAACCAGTGGTATTTATGCTACAAGTTGATTTAGTTATCCTTGGACATGAGAGGCTGTTTTTTTGTTATATAATTATATTTGTCTAATTGATCCGTTAGACATTGTAGTCTTTCTTAGTGCCTTTTTGGTTTGCCAGATGTCTTAAGGCAGGTTTGGGATTTATCTGATCAAGACAATGACAGTATGCTGTCTTTGCGAGAATTTTGCATTGCTCTTTACCTGATGGAGCGATACAGGGAAGGGCGTCCTCTTCCTTCTGTCCTTCCAACCAGTCTAATGTTGGATGAGACATTGGTGTTTTCCTCTGCTAAACCGACTGCAGCATATACTGGATCAACGTCGAAGCCTACTCCCGGTATAAGCTCTTCCCACATCCCTGAAGTCCTATTTGTCTTTAGGTCTTCTTAATTAGTGCACTTTACTTTATTAGCGATTTCTTTATTTATGACCAAATAGATGTTATTATTAGGAATAAAAAAGATGGTGATGGTAGCCATTATTGGAGAAAGTGTTTATGTTTAGTATGAGTACTACTTAGGACTGTTATTACAAACAAATCCATAAACCTCTTATCATTATCAGGACCGCTGCAACATGGGGTAAAAGGACCACGACCACCTGCTGCTCCTCTTGGAAAGCCACCACGTCCAGCTTCCACTGCTCAGCCTGATGAAGCTAAGCAGCCTGCTCAACAAAAGCCCAAAGCTCCGGTACTGGAGAAGCATCTTGTTGACCAACTTAGCACAGAAGAACAAAATTCTCTGAACTTAAAGTTCCAAGAGGCAACTGACGCGGAGAAGAAAGTAATAAATTTTATGTTTTATGTTCCACTTGTCATTTCAAGCTACTAATCTAAGATTCTAGGATATACTAAAGTGTGTGGGTTAGTGGATTTGAAGTATTGGTTTTATGAACCAGTGAATGTGCATGAATGTTACGGTGTATAGGTTTAGGAAATGTCTTTAGGAGGAAATTCACTCTTTAAATGCAGATTGTACCTCTAGTTCCTTTGCTTGTTTATATGTGAAACAGATGCATACTTGTTGAATGATACACCTTGCTCTCTCCAAGATATGGATTAGTTGATGGTGATATGATTATTTAAATGTTATCTGTGATCATCAACTGCTAATAATTCTTGTTTGATTTTTATAAGTAACTCTTACTATCCTTTCTATTTCCATTTTGTGAAAATTTGGAAAGCCATAATGTATAACCATCAATCAAGGCTTTATCTAGGTCTCTGAATAACGGTATTGCTTGTTTGATTGAGGGAAACTAGGGGGGAGTGGAGAACACATCTTTTATGTTGCTTGGCTGGAGAGTAGATGGAGCGGTGATAGGGGAGGTTAATGGGCAGATTATCTCAATCCTTTCATTCACTCAAATGTCATGGTTCCAATTTGAGTTGAAACCAATGTAGGAGAGAGGACAGTCTCGCCAAACACATCATCTTTTATAAATATTATTACTCTTCTCCCATTTGCTTTCTAATGCAAACAAGAAAAAGTTATTGTTCTATATAAATTCATTCCTTTCTTTTACTAAACATATACAAGCCATCCAAACATAATTTGATCAATTCGTCCCTCTCCATTATTTATCACCCCCTCTATGTCAATCACCCTCTTTCTCCATAATTTGATATTCAGTTGCAAAAAGGTATGTGGTTTGATATGCCTCCGCAGTCCGCACTGTTACCTTCTTAATGTGGTTTGGTAGACTAAGGTTAATGTGACTTTCTATAAAGCTGACTTGTTCTCATCTCTCAACTTTAAAGCTCTCTCTAGATAACGATCTATTAGTGATTAGTTATCCTAAGAGCCTGCATAAACTCTCTCTTTTTGCAATGCCTTTTATGTCAATTTCAGGTCTCTGAACTGGAGAAGGAAATATCAGATGCAAAAGAAAAAACTCATTTCTATCATTCAAAAATGCAAGAACTAGTGAGTACTTCCCCCCCTCCACTTCAATGTTCAATCACAAATTGACTTGCCCATTCCACCTTACGTTGAGTTGGGGAAGAGCTTCTGTACTTGGGCATACCTTATGGCCGGATTCTTTAAATCTATTTCTGTTTGGGGGTTTTGGAAGGAAAGGGATGAGGGCTGTTATTTTTTACTTTAAAGTAATACAATCATATATGGCTTAAGGTACTAAACTACCCCCTCAGACCCATAATATAAGATATATTTGGATTTGGCATGATTTTTTGACGCGATTTTCATCTTGAATCATTCGGAAACACTCTATGTGATTTAGTACTGGGGTAAGGCTGTATACATCTGACCCCCCTTACCCCACCGTAGGTGGGAGCCTTTGAGACACTGGGGTAATGTTGTTGTTGAAAGGATAAACTTGTTGTTTTACATTTCTAACCTTCAAAAAGTAAGGAAAAGTAGGATGGGTCCACAAAAAGTAGAAAGGTGAAATGAGAGATAAAGGGATAAAGTAGGAAAGTAAAATGTTTGAAGTTTAATTTATGATAATGTTCCTATTCTTGGGACAACCTAAAAAGGATTGTGTATCTTATAAAATGGGATGGAGAGAGTACTAAATAAACAGCCAGGACATTGGGTTTATATGATTTTGTATTTTGAAAACATGTTAAAGTAATTGTTTCTTTAATTGCGAAGTTAACCATCAATTCTTTTTCCCTCTAAAACCTCTTTCCCTAATTTAATAGCTTAAGGGTGGAGGATGGGGGAAGTTGTGGTGGTGGTATAGAAGTTACGTACTGGCTCTTAATAGTACCACTTCACCTAAAAAAGTGTGTGTGTTTGGTGCATATAGTAGTATTGCACTTCTGTAAGTGCTAAAAGGTTGCCCTTTTCACTAATTTGAGAGTGGTTTTATTTGGGTTATTGTTACCATTGATGAGTTACCATATACCTTTTAGTTTAGCAGGATCAATTTTGGTGTTATTTAGTAGGTCTCAACTTCAACCCCCATAAATATGCGTGCATGTGGACATATATAGCAGCAGTATTTGGTTTTTCTATTGGGAGTATTGGGTGTACAAGGGATAGTTTCTTTAAGTTGGTGTGCATTACCAGGTTTCTGACACATTTTTTGGTGTGCATTGCCAGGTTACTGACACATTTTTTGGTGTGCATTGCCAGGTTACTGACACATTTTTTATTTTGGACTTTTCTACCAGATATTATATAAAAGCCGATGTGACAATAGATTGAATGAGATAATTGAAAGATCTTCTGCTGACAAAAAAGAGGTGCACATTTTTTTAAGAGATAAGGTTCCACACATTCCCATGATTACTTGGTTATTGATCTCACAGGAAAAGGTTGTATTGCAGGTTGAGTCTCTGGCAAAAAAGTATGAACAGAAGTATAAACAGGCTGGAGATGTAGCTTCAAAGTTAACCATCGAGGAGGCCACATTTCGTGATATTCAGGTATATATCTCAACCTCCATTTCCAATCCTTTATTTAATGCGATTGGATAGATTTTTGCTTCACTCAAGTAGAGCTTTAATGTAGCAAGGTTTGAACAATGTGGCATTGTTTTAAATTACTTAAAATATTAGGAGAAAAAGATGGAGCTATATCGGACGATTCTTAAAATGGATCAAGATAGCAGTGCTGATGTTGTTCAGGTAGGGTCTACTAACTGCTTAGAATGCAACTCTTATTTATCTGTTATCTCAAACTACAGCAAGAGTTATAAGTTATAACCAAACAGTATGTCACAGGACACTTCATTATTAAGCTTAATGTTCTATGGGTTTCACAGGACCGCGCTAATCACGTTCAGGCGGATATTGAGGAACTTGTTAAATCATTGAATGCACGTTGCAAAACATATGGGCTACGTTCCAAACCCATTTCACTGTTGGAGCTTCCCTTTGGTGTGCATCTTATCTTGACTTTGTACTTGGCCAGTTGGCTTTGGTACTGTAACTTTTTAGAATCATCCAACTTTTTGCATATATATTCTCTAAGCCACCCAGTGGATGTCAGGATACATTTTCAGTTTATGGTTGTTTCACCTGATACTTAAATATTTTTTACAGAAAAAGGTAATAATAATATTTCCATGTTTTGGAAATGTTTCATATACTTCTTCCAATCTCCGTGGAAACCTTTTGGAGGACTTTTCTATTACGTAGTACTCCCTCCGTCCCGAATTGAATTGCAAACTTTGACTGGCACAAGGATTAAGGAATGGTAATAAATGATACTTGCTTTTTACACTTTTGTCCATCTTCCTAAAAGTAGATGCCTTTAAGTTAATGAAAAAAAGTAAAAGTAGGGGCAAATTTGTCACTTAATTCTTATTCACATACCTAAAAAAGAAAGTGGAAAACCATTTTGGGACATCCAAAATAGGAAATTTTGCAAATCAAATTGGGACGGAGGGAGTATAAAATAACTTTTCCAGTTTATTCAGTTTTAATGTCCGTGCAACATAGCTTGAATGTCTTGACATATGCCAAAAAGCATTTGGTTACCCTTTTTGTTTCATGAAATCTTCTTTGGTGATCTGAAAATGCTGGGCACATAAAAATACTCCTTGCAAAGTAATTTTTGTTGTGAAACTGTCCAGATCATTTCCTACTGTTACAGGTCGATGTTCATTGCCAGTCTGTCAGTCTAATTTTATCAAACAACCTAACTCTCTATAGGTTATTGGCAACAACTTGAAAGGACTTCCTTAAAAAAAATTCCCATAGTGATTTTTTTACATGTCAAATCCATTCCAAGTCAAACTAGACTTTTTCCCATTAGGTGGGGTGGGCTTTACAGATTAAACAGAACCATTCTTAGCTGCATTCTTTCCTAGAATTCTTTGATCTTGTAACCATCAGTTTATAAATCAACTTCCTTTTGCATTCCTTTCCTTGTCTTATTACTTGGCCCTATGAGTTTGCAACTAGTCTTGAACACTCAAACAATGAGTTGGTAGGGTAGTGATGTGCCTTTTGATCTTTTCGTAACCTTTAACTATGTGTCCATATATGACAAATCTTTAGCTGTAATTAAAAGAGGGCTTCACTTTTTTGTCTATATTCAACATTTTGTGAACTTATGATGGGCTTTTCTACTAAAAATTTCTAAAGGATGGCAACCTGGCATCCAAGAGGGAGCCGCAGACTGGGATGAAGACTGGGATAAGTTTGAAGATGAAGGTATGTACTTGAAATGTCACCTTTGAACTATTAACTATAATTTCTTTATAGCATAACTTAATTTCCTTGCTAAAGGCCTGTTCTGGAAAGTTCGCTTTAAGTTTATGGCCCTTAACTCCTTCCTAATAAGTGCTGCTTTAGACCTTACGGCTTACGCACATATTGGTTTTCTAACTTTAAGATAAATATACGTTACTATGACAAGATTGCCTCTATTTAATGCAGTAAGAATATATAAAGTACCATAGATTAATTAAAGATGGGGATGGACAATATTGGAAAAAGAGTTTTTAATGTCTCCTGATATTAAAAGGTGCCACTATATGAGAACATTTTCTTTCTCTAAAGCGATACTTATTATTCCCTGTCCCATAGGACTTTGCCAACTTTCCCCTTGTGGTTGTCCCAAAAAACTTTGCCACTTTCTCATTAAAGTAACTAATTTGTGGTTCTGCTCATTTCTCTCTCCTCTGCACAAACCTCAACCACACAATTTTTACTTGTCTTATTTCTCACCTAATTCAAAGAGTGCAAAGTTCTTTGGGACGGAGGTAATATAATTTAATTTCATGTGTCCTTTATTTTCTTGTTGCTGCTTCCTTCTAATCCTTCCATCTAATAAACTTCAGGATTCACATCAGTGAAGGAGCTCACACTCGATGTACCAAATGTCATAGCTCCTCCTAAACTAAAGTCTTCCTTGATACGGGATAAAACACATTCCAATGAGAGTGAGGCAGAAAAATCAAACTACGATGCTGGTGCAAGGACTGATAAGTTGTCAAGCCCTCAAAAAGGAGAAACAATGGACGGCGAGGATTTTGCCTTTAGGGATGAACAAGAAGGTGAAAAAAGTCCACCAAAGAGTAAACACATAGAGAACTTATCAAAGGAATACGGTGAATCCTCACCTAGAAAGGAAATCAGCTATGATGGGTCACCCCATTCCACACAAAGGTAAGCTGTTTTCTTTGCCATTCTTTCAAATGCTATATCTAACTTCATGCCCATCAACCAATAAAAGTTGAACATATTTTTATTATTACATACTCCCCTCCATATTCTTGTGTGCTACATTTTCCTTTTTGAGAAGTATTTGAAAATTTGCTACACTTTCCCTTTTTGGTAAGACTGCCCTTTAAAAATACTCAACTACCCTTACTTTTTTACTTTCCTTTTCTATTTCATACTTTTTCACACTCTCCTACTTTTTCTATACTATCCATTACCCCTACTATTTTCCCCTTAAATATTGCGCCAACCTCTACTGTAACAAACAATAGAATACGGAGAGAGTATATCCCAAAAAAGAAGGGGAGACTTGGTGCACCAGTTAAGGTGTTGTTGTGTGACCGTGTTCAAGCCTTGAGGGCAGCCTCATGTAAAAATTTGACAAGTCAAGACTTGCCCTGGGTACACCCTTGTGTTGGGACCCTTCTCACCTTCTTGGACCCTCATTTTGTGGGGACGCCAATGTGCACCAAGCTTCCCTTTTTATCTGTCCTAAAAAAGAATCGTGTTTCACCGCGGTGCCATTTTTTATTCTGTAAGGTACAGCGTTTGGGAATTATCATCTCTAGGCAAATTTTTACTTTATGTGTTGGTTTAACTAAATTTAACATCTTCACTTGTTTGGAGCACTTTTCAATGAAAAAGTACATTAAATATAAGCAAACTTATCTTCTTTTGACCAACATACTTGTTTTGGGGGTGAAAATAAGTTTTCAATAAAGACTTTTTTGGGGGATGGATTGAATATCAACCAATCTCATTTTGAGGTAGAATGGAACTCTTACATCCATATCTAGAGTCTGGACTCGATTTTTTTTACTGGTGCAGTGAACATGGTGCTGAATCTGTGTATTCTGGGGAAAAAAGGTTTGATGATTCAGGCTGGGGTGCATCTGACACTCACTATGATGCATGGGATATCAACTCTGTTGCTAGTAAGGTAATGTAGTCTCCAAAATGGTTAATATCACTGTTTTCTGAACAATACATCCCTTGTGTCCTTGCTTGAATGTTCCAAAAGCACCACATTTTATATATTCTAAATTGTGTCTCATCAATGTCATCAGGAAGCTGATCTTGCTAGGCACAAGGAACTCTCTCTTTTTGGCTCTGATGACTGGGGCCTAGCCCCTATAAAAACTGGATCGAAGCACTCAGATGACTTATTCCCCAAACAAAACCCAATCTTCGATTCAGTCCCTAGCACCCCAAGTTACAATGTTGGGCTGACGGGCAAGCAAAGCCTAATATTTGATTCGGTCCCTAGTACCCCAAGTTATAATACTGGACCCATGGGTACAGGCGATCCTTTTACGAAACAAAGCCCGTTCTTCGATTCGGTTCCCAGTACTCCAAGTTACAATATTGGGCCCATGGGTAAACAAAGCCCATTCTTCGATTCTGTCCCTAGTACTCCAGGTTATGATTCGGGATCACAACAGGCCAGAGATGCAATATTTTCAAAGCAAAGCTCTTTCTTCGATTCGGTTCCTAGTACTCCAAGCCATAATGCTGCTGGGTTTTCTTCATACGCAGAAAACGCATTCTCCTCAAAGAAGAGCCCTTTCTTTGATGATTCAGTTCCAAGCACACCCATGTATAGTTCTCCAGATCACTCGAGAGATTTCTCTAGATTTGACTCCTTCAGATCTGGTAAGGACTTTGACTATGGTCAAGATCTGTTTGCATCATCATCCCGTGATAATTCCCTAGCAAGGTTTGACTCATTCCGCAGCACAGCAGATTCTGAATATACCTTTGGTGCACCTCCTCAAGATGGGTTTACGAGATTTGATTCCATGCGGAGGGATTCAATGGATTACGGTAAGGGAGGTTTCCCGTCTTTTGATGATGATGATGATGATACATTTGGTGGGTCAAGCAGGCAGTCATTGAAGACTTCACTTGACAGTGAAACGCCAAAAAGAGATTCTTCTGATGGTTGGAAAGCCTTTTAATGCCTGTATTTGTCATATAATACAAACTCTGTTTTTCTGGGCAGGTTATAGCGAGGTGTTTGTATATTGGCTCGCCAGTGATGTAATTGGACAACAGTGCCCACACCAATGTAATTTTACACGTCTTGGTTGTTTTCTTCCTGGTTTCGTATCATTCTTTCTCTTAGAGTTCGTACACATTCATTTCTATTATAGTTGTGTGTAAAATGAAAACGTCTTTTTGTTTAATTCGTCTCCTCGTTTGTAACGCTGACAGAAGTAAAATCTGCTTGCTGCTGTCTCATTTGTATTTAGAACCAATGACTGATGCATTTTGGTTTCATGTATTTAGAGCATGTTTGGCAGCACGAAAATCGGCTGTTTTGGCTGATTCTGCTGAAATTTATGAAGTTCTGGCTGAAGTGGCTGCATTGGCTGATTCTGCTGATACAAGAAAAAAATATCTTTAAAATATATTTTATTAATAAAATAAAGAAAAAATTATATGTAAAAATAGCTAAAATGATCATCTACAGTAACTTCAGCCAATACAGTCAGAAAAGTAACTCCAACCTTACTTTTTCGGCTTATTACACAATTCAGCGCGCGAAAGCAAAGTTTACGTGTTTGGTAAAAATGTTGGCTGATAAGCCTGATAAGCCGAAAATGAGGGTTGCCAAACGACCTCTTAAATTATGATTAGGAGAATGCACATACATCATCTTGAATTATGTCACATAACAAACATACCTATCAATTTTCTTTGATGACAATTACACAAAAGTATAAAACTGGAACAAATATATCATGTGACTAAATATTATACAACAACTAGGGATGGACCCAACCGGTTCGGCCCGGCCCGGCCCGCCACTGTGCGGGCCTGGCCTGGCCCGGTTATGAGATGGGCGGTTCGGGAACGGGCCTAGTATTTAGTGAACCGGCCCGGCCGGTCCGGACCCGGTCCGGGCCGTAACGGCTACTTTTTTTTTTTAAAAAAAATTTTAGAGGCCCAAACAAGGCCTTATGACCGTTGCCCACAAACCCAAACGGCTCTATAGCCATTGGGAGGCTCCCTGGGGTCCTGGGGTGGGGGGGAGTGGGGGGTGGGGTGGGGGGTGTGGTACAAAAAATCTATAAATACTCTATTTTTTGTATACAATTTACTTACACATCTTCTCCAAATATTCCTACTCTCTAATCTCTATTCTCTACTAATCTTCTCCATCTTCATCTTCTCAATTTTATAACTACATATATTATATTTATAAAATTTATTATCTACTTATTATCTACTTATATTAATATCTAATTATTATATTATTGTTATTTACTTATATTTACATATTACATATACTTAATATATACTTATATATTAAAGTATTATATATAAGTGTATTATTAAGGTGCTTATTAGATTTAAAAATCATTTCCTGCTTTTTTAAAAGAATATGCTAACTATATTATAAACTCGACCGACATCGACACTTGTGAAAATATAATGAATGTTTTAGTATTTTTTAATAATGCAACTCAAACTTTTAGTCATGTTTATAAACCTACCGCAAACCAATTTTATGTTGAAGCTGTTAATCTCGCCGACGCTTTTTGTGAATTTTCCGATGCCAATTACGTTAGTTATTTTTGTTCTTACATGAAAGAGAAGTTTTTAAAATATTATTCACACATTCCGCATATATATGGTATTGTATTTATTCTTGATCCTCGTTTTAGACTTGATTATTAGGGGAAATGTTTGGATTACTATTATGCTTCTTTTTTGGTCCATTGCCTATGTACGACGACAAAGGCATAGACCCTAAACAAGAATTCCAAGAGGTTAGTAATTTACTTTATCAATTATTTAATGAGTTTCATGCACAATATGGTAGCGCACCCCCTCTCCTGTCACGAACATCTTCTTCATCTAAAGGAAAATCAATTTTGAAATCTGCATTTGGCAATCTTATGAAAAAAGTAAATCAACTCCGGTTAATGAACAACGCTCGATTAATGAGCTTTCTCTGTATCTAACATTTCCTGTTGAGTATGAAGAAGGGGATGACTTTGGCGTACTTCAGTGGTGGAAGGAAAAAGAAAGAACGTTCCCGATCTTATCAAAGATGGCTAAACAAGTGCTAGCAATGCCGGTATCAACAGTTGCTGTGGAACAATAGTTTAGTGCGGCCGGCAACGTGCTAACGGACTATAGAACGAGAGTGAGCGCAAACTCTCTTGAGACGCTTGTTTGCTTCCACGATTGGTTGAAGGCGCAACGTAGAACTCAAGAACTGAGCATAGAACTTACCCGCCACTTTATGGAGGAAACAACCGAAGATGGCGGAGATTCCGATTGATTCTTATTTATTAAAAATTGTATTTCATGTTTTATTTTTTTTCTCAATTTTCAATTGTACTACATATTTCAAATAAGTATATTTCATGAATGATATTCCAGACGCCTTGTATAGTTTGGATGTGTTGACTATTCGTACTGTACGGCGAGTTGTTGACGTGTCCGGGTAAGTCCGGGGCGTGACAATTTAATTGGTATCAGAGCCCTTAGTCCGTAAATTTCGTAATGAAGCTTCAAATTTGTTTTTGAAAATGAATTTGAAAACCATGAGCATAAGAAGTTTTGTACTTATAGAACTTTTGGTACTTGACTTGCAATGTCTCTAACTGTTAAGATGGCACCCTTAACAATTGGTATGACGATGAGTTGAGTCAAGAGGTGTCTTTAAGTGCCTATCCGTCAATTGACATTTGATACGAGTCTAATGACTCATTCTCAATTTCTTTCAGAAATGGAATGTACCGGGAAAGTGACTAGAAGGAACCCGATTGGTCGGGCTGTAATACTTGAGATTTAATTTAAATGGATTAATAGTACTACTCATACCAACAAGGTGCATCTCCTTTTAAGAGAGCTCATCAGCTAAGAACTCCAAAGTTAAGCGTGCTTGTACGAGAGTAGTCTTGGGATGAGTGACCCATTGAGAAGTTTCTCAGGGCACTCACGAGTGAGGACAAAGTACACGGAAAAGGCTAGTGGCGGTTTGTGAGGACAATACTAGAGGTCTGAAGGGTGTGTTAGAGTAACTACCTCGGGTCCTACAGGTCGGGGTATAACAGGTGGTATCAGAGCAACCCTGCGATAGTGTGCTGACTCGTTGGATATCAGGCGGACACTTAGCGGGGGAGGATTCTGGGATTTCATTGAGATTTGAGATTGGTTTATGGGCGCAACGATGACGTTGCGTTCCTAAGTGGGGGTGATTTCAATACTTGAGATTTAATTTAAATGGATTAATAGTACTACTCATACCAACAAGGTGCATCTCCTTTTAAGGGAGCTCATCAGTTAAGAACTCCAAAGTTAAGCATGCTTGCACGAGAGTAGTCTTGGGATGGGTGACCCCCTAAGAAGTTTCTCAGGGCGCGCACGAGTGAGGACAAAGTGCGCGGAAAAGGCTAGTGGCTGTTTTTGAGGACAGTACTAGAGGTCTGGAGGGTGTGTTAGAGTAACTACCTCGGGTCCTACGGGCCGAGCTCTTTGACGATCACTTTGTCGTAGTGCGTCAAAATAAATTCAATACTTTACACTTATATGTAGTATAGCGTAGTAGAGTTCATATCCACAGGGAAAGGAATAATTATCTCTTTTTTTAAACAAGTAAATAAAAGGGGGGTTTTGGGATTGAATGATTTAATTTAATTAAACACTAAGTTGAACGACTTATATGTGATTTAATTCAAAGATAAAAAAAACTTGACTTTGCTACTTTCCACTTGTTGATATATTTAGTCGATCCTTGTTATATCCATAACTTATCCCCTCTCGAATACTCAATCGAGGAGTATATCCAATTCATCGAGGGTAGTTATTATCAACGACCATTCATTAATAACCCTTACTATTAATCTAATATAGAACAACGCCTTATACCGATTTAATAGTAGCATTTAATCTTTCTAACTCCTTGATGAAATCAATTGAGATTGATAACCTCAACACAACGGTTTCGGTTTTAACAATAAAACTAATCCATCTTAAGTTTATTAACCACGACCGTGCATTAATAAACCGAAGTTACTTACTTGCCAAACCATCCACGATTAACCATCGGTTCGTTGATCGTTTCTAGTAATAATTAATATTGAGATGTTGACTAATTGTCATCTTAGCAACACTCCCCTACATTAATATATAAAAACATTAATGGAAGAATTAATATTCAAGGAGAGAAGTTAAGAAAATAACTCAAAACTTTAATAATCATCAAGCTTCAAGAGAAAAACCAAGAAATGGAAGTTTAGCTCCTCATTTGGAGACTAAACATGCTAGAAAAAAATAAAGAAAATACTATTCTAAGTTGAGCTTAAGTATATGGAAGAAGGGATGATAATTAGTGAAGAAAAGGTGTGCTATTTATAGGTGTTTCTCAACACCTTTGGCTGGGTACCCGATCGGGTAAGGTGCTCACCTGATCGGGTACCGGTCAAAATCAGATAATCTCCCACGTTCTTGTATTTCAGCACGCCGGATTGCCTCCGGTCAAGTCTCACCCGACCGGGTGAGGTAATGGGCTCGACCGGGCCATGTAATTTCCTTACATTTTCAGTTTTCATTTCTTACCCGACCGGGTGAGAGGTTATACCCGGTCGGGTATTTGCTCATGGGCCGTCAATTTTCCTTTTTCTTCACTTCAAAGTTTTCCTTTCTAACACCACAAATCCTAACTATACTTTACAACTTATAAATGAAAACTAAAACACAATTACAACTAAATACAAACTATTTACAAACTAAATAAAATGGTAAACAATCCACACAAATCAAACATAAAAACATACATTTATGCACTACTAATTAGTGCATATCAAATACCCCACACTTGAACTTTTACTCGTCTCGAGTAAAACAAATCTTGTCCATGCAATCCTCCAAATGATAATAGTATCAACACAAAAATCCAAGAATGTTTTTACGAACAAAAGTGATTACAAAGCATCCCCAAAAGTGAATAGAGTAAAAGAAAGGGTCTTCAACTTCATCTTTATCCTCATGTCTCTTTTAAATTATCACCGTCAGGATCCTGCAAAATAAAAAGAGATATTTTCTCTCATTCTCTCATTTTGCCTAGGTGCCCTTTCAGGTTTTCATCCCAGATTCCCACATTTTTCTTTTAATTCTCACAACCTCACTTTTATTTTATTGCTTTTATTTTTGCTCGAGTTGCCCTTTGTGGGTTTTCAACTCAACAAGCTTATTCATTTTTTTTATTTTTTTTTATTTTTTTTAATGAAAAGAGTAGGATTGTGAGCATACCATAACAATCTTCCCCTGCTAGATCACGACACTGTCCATAGTGCCCGCTCACATCTCCTCCATCAAAAGATCCTCTATGGCCAAAGT